GACACTTATTTGGTATTCTGTGTTTGAAATAGTGAAGGTGAGCTCTAATCAAATAAAATAAATAGGTATTTTTTAAACACATAAAATACTTCACTATAGGTACTGTGGGGATTTTTTTAACAAGCATTAGAGATATTATTTTCTATGAAACAAGGTGTTCAAGAACATTAAAATAACAAAATGTGGTACAAATACAAAGTGATCAAAGTTCAAGATAATTAAATTGGGGTAAAGATAATATATTCATTGCACACATACAATTACTTTTACTCACAAAACCCCATAAAACAACAGAAAAGAGTCTGTTTGTTTGTTTGTTAATACCTAGGCTGCAAGGATGGGAGATCAGGTGAGAGGGTCATAAGAAAAAAACCTTGAAGCTGGAAAGCAGATAAGTAAGAAACGCTTCCTAACATGATGATATGCTGATCTGACAAGCCTAGTTTATCACCTTTAATAATTCTGACATAATTTATAATAGTACCAACTTTTGTAGGAGTGGAAAAGTGATATTTTTACCCATCATAAGAGTCACAGCTGACACTCCTATAACAAAAGACTGGTTAACAAAGGAACAGCATAACACATTTACTTGATCAAAAAGTTTTACTTGACACAGGAAACTTCAGAAATGAACACACAAAGACCTAGGTAAAACTGTCCATTTTTATGATTAGATTAAATGAAGAATGGACAGCCATATAGAAATGTAACTGGACAAAAAGGGTATGACAATGATAATAGATATTGTCTAATGGTATGATCATGTCTAATGATAATAGGCTGAGAGGGAAAACCCCAACAAGGACTGTCTGTTCAGATTCTTCTTGGCCTCTCTGTGTAGCATTTCTTCCTTCTGGGTATAGGGCATGACCTCTTTTAGAATGATAGTCTTATAATCTACAATCAGACATGGTAGACCTACAATCTACTATCAGACTTGGTAGGTCAGATAACTTCTTTATGGCCAGCTGCTACACAAAAAAGCAGGAGAAGATTAGAGTAGTATTTCTGGGTTTTATGACTAGCTTTGGGGAAGAGGAGCTCTAGTTTTCGTGACCTGCCTCAGGGAAGGAGAGGCAAGAGACAGGAGAGCACAGAGAGACTTTGCTTCTGAGTCCTTCCAATCTCCTTTGGTTCAAAGTGCTCAGCATGCCAAGGCTTCATACTTTAGGGTATCATTTCCTGAGCCCCAGTACTTTCAAATGTGTTTTGGTTTGAACAATAAATACTGTGGTCAACCTCAACACAACAGACATGAGAAAACTGAACCTTAATTTAGCAATGAGAAATGGCAAAATTGATTCAATGTGTCATACAGAATCCCCAAAAAGCTCATTCAGGAAATAGCAGCACCAAGTCCAGCTGGCAATGAGATTAAAGGTATATGTGTTTGGGGCCCGGCACAGTGGCTCACACATGTAATCCCAGCACTTTGGGAGGTGGAGGCTGGCAGATCACTTGAGGTCAGTTTAAGACCAGCCTGGCCAACATGGCAAAACCCCATCTCTACTAAAAATACAAAAAATAGCCAGGTGTGGTGGCACACACCTGTAGACCCAGCTACTCGGGGGCTGAGGCATGACAATCGCTGGAGCCCAGGAGGCAGAGGTCACAATGAGCTGAGATCACACGACTGCACTCCAGCCTGAGCAACAGAGCAAGACCGTGTCTCAATAATAATATAATAAATAATAAATAAAAGTATGTGTGTTTGGTGCTTGTGGTGGTAGGAGGTGATTGCAAATTAAGAACTATCAGATACCCTCCCCAACTCTACATGGCTAAATGACTGTCCCTACCCCAGCCCCAGCAAAAGACTATAGATTTATTATCAGGCGAGAAAAAGATAAAGTCTGGACTTGGGAATGCCAAGCATAGTTTACAGTAAGCAGTGGTACCACACAAAAAAGTAAGTGCATTTTTGCGACAACTAGAGATTTGAATAAGAACTGGGCATTAAGTGATAAAAATTATTGTTATTTTTTATTAGATATGACAATACTACATGTGGTTATATAGGAAATGTTCTTATTTTTGAGGAGATATATGCTGAAATATTTAAGAGTGAAGTCCATGATGACACTCTAGCTTCAAAGGTTTAGAGAGAAAGAGAACAGCTAAGGCAAACTCTTAACAATTATTGAATATAGATGGAGGATACAGGGGTAGTCGTTGTGCTATTCTTTCAACTCTTCTGTATGTTTGAAGTTTTTATAATAGCAATTTTGCGGGAAGAAATGAATGAGGACACAGTTGAAGCTGAGACCTCAGGTGTCTTTCTGCGTCAGCAGCCAGTGTCTCTCTCTCTCTAGGGAGAGGATTGGAAGAATCTTCTCCGAGAAATCTGATCATTCCAAGAGGACATAAATAAAAGATGACTGATATCTGACTTTTCCCAACCAGTTCACCCTACAGGGAAGATCATAGTCAAGCCCTAACCATGCACTCAGAGTATCTAGTCAGCATTTTAGTGCTCCACTCTTAAAAAGGAGCACGTAACTAATGATTACCAGGCATGAGAAAATGCTCTTACATGACAGATGGAGATGAATATTCATAAACAGGAAAACAAAACAAAACAAAAAACTATGGAGAATAATAAAAACTATCCATTGAGAGAGAAACTTCAAAAAAAAAAAATTCTAACATTGCCAGATACTGCCACCCTACAATAGGAGTATGGTACTATAAGAAACAGAACTGTCAAGAACAGCAACAATCATCGAAAAAGGTCTTGTAAAGCAAAGTTGTGAAAGAAGAAAGAAAAAATTCAATACAAGAATTAGAAAATAAAGTCAAAGAAATTATCAGAAAGTGGCCAAAAAGACAAAAGACTAATCCAGGAGGTCTAGTATACCTATACTAGAAAGAAAAGAGAGAAAACAGAGGTGAGAAAATAAATATTTTTGAAGACGTTTTCCTAGATTTGAAAAATCTAAGTTACCAAACTGAGACTTAGACATCCTAGTCTAAATGCCTAGCACAGTGGGACTGTGCCTCAGTCGACATTAACGCACATCATTGTGATATTTTGGAAACACTGGAGACAAAGAGATCATAGTAGTTTTAGAATTAGGAGAAAAAGATAGATCACACACACAAAGAACCAGGAATCAGAACCATTTCAGACCTGTCATTTACACAGGAAGTTGAAAGATAGTGGAGTAATAATGTCTTTCAAACACTGGAGGAAGATTATTTCCAACCAAGAATTCTATGCTCAACTAAACTATCAATTGTCAGGGGCAATAAAGACATTATGAGACAAGCAGGACCTCAAGAAATTTACCTACTGTGGGCCATTTCTCATGAAAGGAGATCTTGCTCTACCAAAACAAGGGAAGAATCCAAAAAAGAGGAAGACATGTGTTACAGGAAAAGGCAATCCAATACAGAGAAAAGAGGTGATGAGAATCCCTAGGGTGATAGTGAAGGAAGAACCCAGCATAATAACTGAATGTCAGGCATAGGAGGCAGCAGTGGGAGACACTGGGAGAGACCTCTTCAGGAAAATCATATCAATAGAATACCTACTGCATCTGAGCATCTTGAGGGCTAATGTACAGAATTGTGGAAAGTTACTAGAATTCATGAGAAATACTGTCTCAGTCTGTTTGGGTTGCTATAATAAAATAGCATAAACTGGGTAGATTATAAACAACAGATATTTATTTCTTACAGTTCTGGAGGCTGGGAGGTCTAAGATCAAGGCACCAGTCTAATATCTCACCAGTGTGTGACAGCCCACTTTCTCATGCATAGACAGCACTTTCTTGCTGTGTTGTTATAGGCTAGAAGGGGTGAAAAGTCTCTCTTTGGCTTGGGTCTTTTTTATAAGGATACTAACCCCACTTATGAGGGATTTGAGCTCATGATGTAATCACCTCCCAAAGACTCCACCCCCAAATACTACCACCTTGAAGGGTAAGATTTTGACATACAAATTTGGGGGAAGACAAACATTCAGATCTTAGCAGCAAACACTTAGAAAACTAAGAAAAAACAAAAACAATTTAGAAAACAGAGCTATGCAGGAAAAGTTCATCTGTGAATGGTGTTTACATAATCGTCATATTAATATACACTGAAAATTAATCAAAATAATTATGTAAAATCATAATCAGGAAGATGAGGAGATAGGAAAGATTATAAGTCTCTGGTTGGGGTTATTGGTCAGCGAAAAGGAAAAAAAGCAAAATCTCAACTTCCATAGCAGAATGTCAATAATGCCTAAAATTAAAAACTGCAACAACAGAATAACAACACGTTATTTAGGACATGGAGGTAAATATCAAAATAGTTGGCTGGTAAGAGGTGAAAGCAGTTGCTTTTTAAACAGGGATAAATAGAAGGAGGTGATAGGGAACTGTTATTTTTCATAACAAATCTTTTTAGAATTATATGATTCTTGTGTATGCATATAACTGAATTTTTTTTAATTTAAGATGCAATTATTATCATGATGTTTGTGATTTGTGGTCAAATGAGTCTGTATTTTTTACACTTTTTTCTATTGCATTCATCTATACCTCTATTACTGAATATATGGAGCAAACAAAATTATTTATTATAATGTATAGATTTTGCAATTCTTCCGTTCAGTCGCTAGACTTCAAAATCTAAAGAGAATGCAAGAAAATAATATTTGGCTTTTTGAAAAAGAAATAGAGACGTGAAGCAAAGGATGAATATTTTCCTATGGATTATTTTTCTGTTTTAGATATAAAAGTATACTAGAATGCTCCTTGTAGTACCTGCTTTCAGAACTATTTAATCTACAAAATAAATTCTTTTCCTTGCCTTACATTTTCTTCTTTTCTCTGTTATTTATGTGTATATTTTATAACGATCTATTGATTCTATAAAGTTAAGCATTTAGCTGGATAATAAAGGAAAACTTACTTTACCACAGTTATTCAGACATTATCCTGGTTTGAGGCCTGAATTGTAAAGATCATTATATGGATCAAATAATTTCTTCTCTTCATTTTGCACAGGGAGGTGATGTGATATTAGAATGTGTCAGTCTGTAAATTGATCTGCATGAAATGATATTCAAGGTAAATGGATATTGAGGAGTCTTTGCAGTTTCTTTCAGTTACACAACTTTCATTTAGTTACACTTAAATGAGTCAAACAATTTAATTGAACCTTGGGAAAATCTGTTCCATAAGACAGCATTAAACATTAATCATTCCACATCACCAAATAATTAATGAAGAGTAACAGTGATGCTTCTGGGGAAGGTTAGTAACTGTTGAGAATAAAGCATTTTTATTTAAAGTTTTTGAAGGGCAGCTCAAAAGCCACTTTCTCCAAAGGGTCTTTCCCTCTTGCAGAGGCCTCCATTGCAATCCCTCCCCTTTGTGAACTTCCATAGTATGGATTATCACATTGTAACTTACACTCTAGTTAGTATATCCTTCCCTGGGAGAATGGAAACATCTCCACATCACCCACAGACTTTGCATTATCCCTGGCACAAAGGAGGCAATTAACGAAGCCTAACTATGAGAATGATAGTGATGATGATGATGACTTTGATTCAAGAAGTGAGAAATTTAAATTTCTGGAGCACCTTCTAAACACAGAATTTGAGCCTTTATGTGTATTCTTTAAAACCAAAACTAGAAAAAAAAAAAAACCCTACAAGTAAATAATACAATCCTCATTATATTACGTATGAGCTAGAACATTAAAATCTGAGTTTTCAGAAACATTTGGCCTTTATTAGGACTATCAGTAGTTCTAGTCCCATCCTCCAAAACTGAAAAGAAAATCTATATTCCAAGATGTTTAAAAGAAAAAGAAAATGCTTATTATTAAATAATAGAAATGAGCTTTAAAAAAAGATTTTTGATAACTCTAAGTAGAATTTAGAATCCTGGATTAAGTTTAAAATAATTTTGGTTAATTTTAAGCATTGTATGTATTTTGTTTTTTAGAGACAGGGTCTCGCTCTGTTGCGCAAGTTGGAGTTCAGTGGCATGATCACGGCTCACTGCAGCCTCCATCTCCTCGGCTCGATTGATCCTCCCACCTTAGCCTCCCAAGTAGCTGGGACTACAGGTGCAAACCACCATGCCCAGCTAATTTTTGAAATTTTTTTTTTGTAGAGATGAGGCTCTCACTATGTTGCCAAGGCTCCTCTCGAACTCCTGGGCTCAAGTGATCTGCTCACCTCGGCTCCCCAAAGTTTTGGGATTACAGGCATAAGCCACCTGCCTGGCCGAATGTTTTCACTTTTATTTTTTCCAGAGCTTACTTATCAGCTTAAAATTGTAATATGATGCATATATTTGCATAATTGCAATGAACTCTATCTGCTTTTCAATCAGAGACTTACATTTGCTGGAAATATCTTGATAAATGGACAGAATATTTTGAATTATTTTTATATTGTATTCATCTGCAATGTTGCCAATGTAGGTACAATTTGTATAATGTACATAAAGCATCTAGGAGGTGTTTTTTTTTCTTTTTTCTTTTTTACTCATGCAAATAGTTCTTTGTGTTTTCATTCTTGTTTGGTCAGTTGTAATTTCTCCTAAATAGCAATTTCCCCAATTTTCCTTAAGATAGAATCTCCTGTAAAAGTATAGTTTCTTCAGCTTACCCTAGAACCTCAGAACCAGCATCTCCAGAAGTATCCTGAAATCTGTACTTAGTAGGTAGCTTTTACTGTCAGATAAGTTTGGAAACTGCTCTAGAACATTCTTTTCCAGGCTCCTAGAGCCATTATTTTTACAAAAGGAAATAAAACATTTCCAATGTACTGTACTCAAAATATGATTGAAGAAAAAGTAGGTAAACATTATTTCTATTTTAATTTCATTCAATATTCTAGTTGTATCACCACTCATTAACTGGCAGCTCGCATTTCCATTTTAGGGTGAAACAGTAAGACGTGTTGTATATATTATTCTGGGAATGATAACATCTGATATTTCAAACAATAATGATATCTATGTAATTAGTCTGCTGTGACTCCCTCGCCCGTCAAGTAAACTCTCTGAAGCCAGTTTCTCATTTTTTTTACCTGTTTCTCACAGACCCAAAAGAGGTCTATAATACATTTAGAATACGTGTTTATTGAGTTGAAACAAATTAAATTGTGAAGTATTGATGAGGCAGAAAGTAAATGATAATTATGTCGGCACAACTATTTCATTATGTTATTGCTTAGAGATCATTCTGTCTTCCATCTATCAAGATCCAACTGCTATCACTCAAGATTCCACATGGCAAAGGAAGAGTATACAGAAGCTCTTTCCACCAATCCCCTCTCCCTTAATGAACTCACATTTCTCCTTTCTTTGCTCTTTTTCCAAGCTCACTCTGTTGACTCTGTTTTATCCATTCGCACCCAAGTAATGGCTTTATATCTGTATTCACAATATATAACCTAGAGTGAAAACCTCATTGAGGCAGAGATTCTCTCAGCAGAGCTTTCTGGTCTTGGTCAGAACATTAATAAAATAAATAAGCCAGCCCCAGGCTATAAGCTAAACCACTTCAATAATGAAGGTGGAATCTTTCTTTCTCTAGTGGGAAAGTAACTTGAAACAAATACATGGTATTCTGAAGCAGAGGATCTGTCTCTGCCATCTAAAATAGCTCTGGGCCTAAAACGCTGTGGTTCCTCAGGCCCTACAGCATCAAACACCTGTGTAGCAGATACTAAATATTTGTTGAAGAAAAGGAAAATTGGAAAGGAAAGAAAAAAAGGGAAGGAAGGTTTTATCATTTTATTAAAAGTATTATCTGTAATTTTTAATATAATGTTATACTTTCAATGTTAATTTCAAAGTTCTTTAATCTGAAAACCACAAGTTATCAGTAATCATAAATTTGACATGTGTGGACATGAATATATATAAATATGAATATGTAACATGAATACCTTTAGGATTTCATCTGGAAAAAGTATTGTAAGGTCTACAATTTTTCTATTATCTAATCATGTCTTTGTTATAGAAGCAAAATTGGGTCCTCAAATGGCTTTTTCACATTCCTGTTGCTTACAGAGTATATAATAACTACAGTCTAGGGATATATATATAAAGTATTAGAAAACGAAGGTAAAAAAAGAAATAAAGAACTTGGGGTTTGTTTGTTGTGTTGAAGTCTTCAGTGTATGTGCAGACTGCAGGATGACACGGGAACTGTCTGGAACTGTTCTAATATGAAGAAGATAGGACTTTCAGGAAAAGCCTGGAAAGTTGAAGGGAGAACAGTATAAGCTATTCAGTTTTTTGTTTTGGTCAAGAGGATATGGCTGGAGCCCAAAGTAGCTGCACTTATTAAGTTAAATGCAATTTCCTGAACATGTTGGTATTTTGAGTGTAGAACCTGTATGTGCCTGTTTCTGTGTGTAGTGAGTGGTCTCTCCAAATTAAAAAGATAGTTTAAAAATACAAAATTAGAGTTGGAGAGGTCTTGGTGCATTTCTGGCATTTATAAGACTAACAACTGTAGGATGAAAGCCGAAGTGGAGTGAGGGATGTCTAGCATGTGAGAAGACTAGTGAAAACGGGTTTCTGTAAGATACATGATCAATACTGGAAGGTGACATTTTATTTTCATCACTTTTCTCTATCTATTCTCTCTGTATTCATCACTTCTCCAGACTCTCTCAGCCATGTATCTGTTTGCCTTCAGTTTCTTCACCAAGACACACACACGCGCATGTGTGCAAACACATCACACACTTTTTCAAAGTCTGGTGAGTTTTGTCGAGAGCATCACATTTGGTTTCAGAGCCAGTTTGTTTGCATTATGGAGATTAACTCTCACCTGACACAGGATAAGCGTAACAGGTGTTCAGAGGAGAAAGTGAGGGATGGAGTAAGCTGAGCTGCTCAAGGAAGCTAAAGGGAGAGATGCACCTAGGACTGGGCCTCAAAACATAGATCCATTTTCACTGGCAGAGGAGGCATGTGTGTATGCCTATTAAGTTTAAGGGATGGGGTGGCACTTTCCAGGCAGTGGGAAGGGAATACAAACCAAGACATGTAAACAATGTCCCATTTACTAAAGGAAAAGAAGGATGTTCAATTTACCTTGAGACAAGGCTATGTGTGTGTGTGTGTGTGTGTGTGTGTGTATGTGTATATATATACACACACATATATACATATGTACATACATACACATATATACACACATATATACACACATATATGTATATAGGCCCCATATATACACATATATAGGCCCCATATATACACATACATGTGTGCATATACACACATACACATACATGTGTGTACATACACAAATACACATACATGTGTATATATACATATAGACATGTGTATCTATAGGCCCCATATATGTGTATATATACACACATATTATATATATACATATATATATCAGGGAGTTATAGGAGGCAAAAGTGAAAAAAAAGTGAAAAGGTAGTTTGGGAAAGATTACAGAAGACCTTAAATGCCCTGTTAAGATCACCCACCACCACCATCCCTTCTGACACACACACACACACACACAGACATATACACGCACACATATGCATGTGTGCTGCTCTTTTACTTGTCCAAAGATGGAATTGTCCAAGTTGTTTGTATTTCCTTCCAGCAAGAAGCCACTACATATTCTCTACTTTAATCTTGGAAAAAAAAAATCACTGACTGAATCTCTCACCTCCTGAAGCCCAACGGATGACTACTGTGCTGGAGAACTAATTTGCCTACTGAATGAGAAAAATTGGTCACCAGAGAACCAGAAAACTCAAAAGAACCTTCTGAGGTCATCAGAACATGTAGGTATTATTTCTTTAATATTCTCACAACATTAAAAACCTGTCCAGATAAATTTATATAGGGAGAGAGGGAAGGAGGAAGAATATGACCAATGAATAGGGAGAGACAAAAAGAGGAGTAATGGAGGGAGCTGGGGCAAGGAGAAGAGGGAGTGAATAAAGAACATGGCAAGCCCTCTAGCTTTGTATTTATCATGGAGACCCTCATGAAGCCATTACTCTGTTTCCCTGCATATTCTGAGAAAAACAATCTTCGAAAGATTGGTCTATAGTAGAAGGAAGCCTAATGAACAGTGGAAGAGATACTACTATGCCTTTTTGTTTTTCATTGCTTTTGCAGGCAGCAGTAGATATATAGTTTTTGATGTGACATTTTATTTTATTTAGACGGAATCTTGCTCTGTCACCCAGGCTGGAGTGAGCATGATCTCGGCTCACTGCAACCTCCGCCTTCCAGGTTCAAGCTATTATCCTGCCTCAGCCTCCTGAGTAGCTGGGATTACAGGCATATGCCACCACGCCTAGCTAATTTTTATATTTTTAGTAGAGATGGGATTTCACTATGTTGGTCAGGCTGGTCTCCAACTCCTGATTTCGTGATCCACCCGCCTCAGCTTCTCAAAGTGCTGGGATTACAGGCGTCAGCCACCGCATCCGGCATTTTTTCTTTTTTCTTAAAAAAGAGGGATTTATTTAAAAATGTAAAAAGCTAAAAGCTGAATTATGATAGGAGCAATGGAGCGATAAACATAACATATTATAGGAAATAGGGCCTAGTCTCATGCCTTCCTGTTGCAGTTGCTTAAGACACTGCAAATATGTAATCAGGAAGCAGTCCCTGGGTTCTTCCTTTTGCACCAGAAATGACTGGTGAGAGCCGGGGACAGAGACCAATAGTTCCTCCTTAGCATGTTTGCATTATTATTAGCATATTTGTTTGAACATCCAAGCACTATCAGGGGTTGCATAAAAGGACAAACACTGTGCAATTGTACTGCCAAGGGCCACAGTCTGACAAAATAAACCATAAGATCAGCCACTGCAACTCTCACAAACTGTCATTTATAAGAAGAGACCATGCGAGTCAAAGTGATGCACTCTAACAACAGTGATGTTCCCAGGAAGAGAATAAACAAAAAATGAAATTAACTTTATTATTAGGGAGATGTGTTTAAGGATAGTTGATTTTTCCTGTTTAATACTTCACTTGATACTTCTATTTTAAAGTTAAAAATACCAACATGTGTCCATCCAAGGTTTCCCTAAAATAATTTTGTATTTGCCAAAGGACATTTCATGTGGATTTGGCAAATAGTATATTGATTAGGACAGGCTGTGTAGAAAGAACACTTATCTTTAGGACCCATATGGCTACATGATGCTCTGATATTGTCAGTGTATGTTGGAGCTTCTTCAAAGACACAGCTGTCTTCAAACTCATGCTAGCTAGGGCTTTTGATGAGTAAATAAAATTCTGGGGGAAGGGAGATAGCCCACACTTATACACTCTGCAATTCAAACCTGCTGTGTTTCAGCCTTCACACCTTTCTGCAACACAGAAAACTTGCTTACACTACAAAAATCACATACACACACATGCATTGACATGGGAAAGAACAGACGGTTTTATGTCATGCCTAATGACTACTGAAATTATGGGTGACTTTATTATCTATTGTTTCTATGCAGACTACTTAATGTTTGTTCATAAAACTAAAATTAACAAAGAAAGAGTATTTTTCTCCCACTGCTCTTTAGTATCTGAATGTCACTGCTGCTCATTTGCCTCTGATAAAATGAAGACAGTGCAGTCAGTGGAAGAGACACAAAGTATGGTATCAGAAAAAACCTGAATTAGAATGCCAGAACTCCAGAATCCCATTCACCACTTATGTGACCTTAGGTTAGACTCTTAATTTCTCCAAGACTCTGTAAAATTGTAATCACCCAATGTGTTCACCTTGCCTGCTGCCTAGACAGAGCTAATTTTTCATGACGGGAATTGCAATAGAGAAAGAGTAATTCACACAGAGCCAAATGTGCAGGAGACCAGAGTTTTACTATTACTCAGATCAGTCTCCCTGAGCATTCAGGGATCTGAGTTGTTAAGGACAGCTTGGTAGGTGAGGGGAAGCCAGTGGGATCCCCAATCAGATGAGACAGTTTATCCATCTGGGTGGTGCACTTGATGGAGCCAGTTTATCCATCAAGTGCAGGGTCGGCAAAATATCTCCAGCACTGGTTTCAGGCTTTACAATAGTGATTTTTATCCCCAGGAGAAATTTGGGAAGGGTCAGAATTTTGTAATCTCCCGCTGCATGACTCCTAAACCATAATTTCTAATCTTTTGACTAACTTGTTATCCCTGCAAAGGCACTCTGGTCCCCAGGCAAGAAGGGGGTTTGTTTTGAGAAAGGGCTGTTATCATCTTTGTCTCAAACTATAAAATAAGTTTCTCCCAAAATTAGTTCAGCGTACACCCAGGAATGAACAAGGACAGCTTGGAGGTTAGAAGCAAGATGAAATTGATAAGTTCAGATCTCTTTCACTGTCTCGGTTATAATTTTGCAATGGCAGTTTCAGACTGAGAATAATGAGACTCCTCTGGAGTTGAAGTGAGAATCGAATGAGGTAACAGCAGTATCTAGCAAAGTGCCCAGTACCAAGTAGTCATTTAGTAAATATTGAATCTGGATGTTCACTAAATGTTCAGAATCAGTTGAACGTGAATCTGAATCAATGGAGTAGAAGAGAACACAAAATGCTTGAAAAACATCCATTAGGACTATTTTTAGTCCTTAAAGCAATTCAGGTGGTTGAAGGATATGTTTGGTGTGTTGTGTTCTATTAATCTGGAGATCAATAGTAAAGTTCCCTTGTATGACTTTTTCTCAGTAATGAATCTAATCTTTTCTGTATCCCTGGCTAAGATCTGCACACAATAAATTAGACATAAATATAATTATTTAAGTCTGTATTTCCTTCCTTCCTTGTACACGTATTTCCAAAATTCTACTTATAATGATAGTGTCCTTACATTCTGCTTTACTTCTAACTATTCACTAATTACTTTTGCAAACTCCTTTCATTAACGAGGAGAAAAATATCCTTAAGCTGTGTGAACTATGACAATACCTTTAGAATATTTAAAGTTGAGGGATATAACTTAAACATATGATGTCTATGTTTTAGAATGTCTAAATGTCTATATTCTTCCTCAGGGCTGGAAAGGAAGCAAGTCCTCCCTTAAATCAGCCATGAAAGATGAAATGATAGCACAAAAGCTTGTGTCAGCAGACCAGGTGGAGCTGAAGTTTCCTATTCCTCAGCTCACTCATTGTGACTCTGTAGGCGGGGTTCTCACTGAGATCACCATGGCTAATCCAGATGAAGACAGGCCTGTAGCAAGAAGAGTCTTGCTGGCCAAGATAAATTTATTATGAGTATTTTCCTAGTACTTTATGGGAAGTAGAGGGAAGCTGACTCTTGAGGATATATCCAGAAATAACCGGAAGTACTCCTGAGGATGTACCTAGAAATACCCAGACATACTCTTAAGACTGTACCCAGAAATGTGAACACCTAATCACATACTGCTATTTGTTTATGAAAAATAAAACTGGAGAACTAATTAAAACCAAAGCTAACTCCAGTTTTTAACACAATAGTTAGAATAACTTAACATGGACATTGGTAAAAGGATCTATATCTACTATCGCTTCTAACTCACAAAGATCGGAGTCAATTTTCTAATGCCTTTGTGTTTCACTTTTCGCATCTGTGAAAGAAGTGACTACACTTAGGTAGTAGATTTTTATTATTTGTTTCTGACCATCACCAGTTTTCCTGAGACTGGACATTCCCTGTGCTTTCTGGGGTTTGACTTTGTGAGACAACGCAATCCTTTTTTGCCTAAGCTAGTTCAATTTGAGCTTCTGACCTTTGGAATCAAACGAGTTCCAATTTACATGCCCTAACTATTCAGAGATGACAGAAGCATATAATTTCTCAGATGAAAGGAGCAACATAATATTTAACATAATAGAGTAGTGACAGATAAATTGTTTTTTATTATTTAATCAGTTTCTAGAAAATAATTAGAAATGACAAGCAATGCTTTTGTTGACTTTACTTGACAGGATGCATAACTCATAAAAGGAATAACTGGATATTTGTTAACAACTGACTTCCTCTGTGAAATCTAAGTTATAAAGCTATTTCAAACAACATTATTTCCTACTCATCAAGCCCAGTGATTATTTTCTTCCTTTTCTTATGTCTCAAGTTAACTTACCCAACTGTGTTTGTAATCAGAGCCCTTTTTGGTTCCGTGGGAAATTTTGTCCCATAATTTCCAAGTTCCCATCAATTAGAACTTGTCTTTTTGTATCTTCAACCTCCATGTCTACTGCTCTCCTCCCATCTGGTCACATGTATTATTTTATCTTTCCTGTCTTAATCTAAAAATGTCACCCTAACTTCATTTCTCTTGTAAGATAAAGATAAAACTATTTTTTCCTCTGACTTAAATAAATCTCTAAAAAGAAAGAGAGGCACAATAACCTAGTAGTCAAAACTGTTGCACAAACCTGAATTTGAATTTCAACTTCATCAGTTCCAGATTATCAGGAATGTAATGTTGTAAATCAACTTGTGTAGGTTACTATTCAGTCTGTGTTGTGATTTGCTCATCTTTAAGATGGGGATAATAATATACCTGCATGCCGAGTGTTCAGTGGAATGCTGGACACACAACTAAACCTCTCCAATAAACATTAGCTGTCATTATCATCATTATGATTATAACCCCATCTCCATTTCTTTACTAGCTGCCTTTTTTCTCTATGTATTGCACTCTGTCTTTTCTCCTCTCATTCTTCTTAGCTCAACATTTCTAATAAACAAACCTAACTCCTCAGTTGTTCAACATTACTCTTCAGCATTTGGCCTAGTAAATTACCATCTCCTTTTTGAATCTCACCCCTTCTTTGACTTTTCTCATTCTCTTCTTAGCCCTCTAAATTCTTCTGTGTTTCTTGACTAGTTCTATTTTCTTCTTTAATGGGAGTTTTATGCAGTTAATTTATTGGCTCTTTTCCTCTGTGGAGAGCAGGGCCATTGAGTAGTTGGATCCAGAACCCAAGTGCTAATGAAGTGTATTGTGTGGGGAGAGGTTTGGACCACGGGGTTCTCACCAAGAAAGTCAGGTCTTGTGTGGTGCCCAAAGATGCAGTGGAGTAAAGGACTGTAAGGGGCGATAGAAGAAGGTCAAGGACAAGTCTTCATCCATTCAGCATTCAGTATTATCACACTTAGTTTTGGGCCAAATTATAATTAGACACTATAAAGGAAGATTTAAATTTGATAAAACATTTATCAGCAATTTGACATGCATCTAAATGTTAGCTTTTTATAATCATTAGACTACTTTTATAGTATAGTATAGTAATTAGTAACATAATTGCTGCAAAATGAATACTGTACATAGCTAATTTCTTGAGTCCACATCATGATCTGCCATCCTTCTTTCATTACAAATTCCCCTGAAGCTGTCCACCTGTTTCTCTTATTTTCCAGAGTTCTTTCTATAATTTTATTTCTTCTTCATGTCTCATTACAACTTTGATTATTGTCTCCTTAAGGATTCTTAAAATCTGAACATGAGAAACTTCACATTTGAGAAAGTGTGAGGATGAGATCCAAGCCATCCCCAAATCAGACGAGGAACTCCATTTTTCTGGGAGATCTGTTGTTTAGCTCTGTAAGAATTGAGGCCTGATGCATCTCATCAGGTGATCAGAGTAATTTTTCAGTATTTGTTCAAATATATCTTCTAATGTTTTGAATTAATCTTGATTAATCTTGATTTGAATTAATCTTGACTCTGATATAATTAACTAATAAAGATCTATAGGTTGAGTGTGGTGGCTCATGCCTGTAATCCCAGCACTTTGCAAGGCTGGAGCAGGAGGATCACTTGAGTCCAGGAGTTCAAGATCAGCCTGGGTAACATGGGAAACCCTGTATCTACACAAAATATAAACGCTAGCCAGGCATGGTGGCATGCACCTGTAGTCCCAGGTACCCAGTTGGGTGAGGGGAGGGAAGGGTGGGCTGAGGTGAGAGGATCACCTGAGCCTGGGAGGACGAGGCTGCAGTAAGCTGTGATTGTGCCACTACACTCCAGCCTGGGAACAGAGTGAGACCTTGTCTCAGATTTAAAAAAAAAAAAAAAAAAAAAAAAAAAACCTATATTTTTCCATTGTCTGTTTTGTGCACTATTCCTCCCTGACCTCCACTAAGGGGTCATCTCCTTTGTGCAATATTCCTTGAAAACAGGTTTGCCTTTTTCTTTCTTTTTTTTTTTTTCTTTCTTTCTTTTTTTCCTTTTCTTTTTTTTTTTTTTTTTTTTTTTTTTGAGACGTTGTCTCTATTGCCCATTCTGGAGTGCAGTGGCGTGACTCCTTAGCTCACTGCAACCTCCGCCTCCTGGGTTCAAGCGATTCTCCTCCCTCAGCTTCCCGAGTAGCTGGGACTACAGGCGCGTGCCACCACGCCCGGCTATTTTTTTTTTTTTTTTTTTTTTTTAGTAGAGATGGGGTTTCGCCATGTTGGCCAGGCTGCTCTCAAACTCCTGACCGCAGGTGATCTGCCCGCCTTGGCCTCCCAAAGTTCTGGGATTATAGGCATGAGCCACTGCGCCTGGCCCCTGCCTTTTTCATCTTTGAAGTCCAGTATCTTTCATGAGTTAGACACGTAGTCAGAAACAGGGAAATACGCAGCAAAGATTTTGATAAAACCTGCTTCTGTTGTAATAAAGGCTAATGATCCACTGAGACTCAGACTCTGCGGGATGGTTAGCCAATGAAAGCACATAATTTACCTCTAGTTTCTCTTTCCTCACAGCGATTGGCCAGAGCAGTGCAGCCTCCCTCCCATCACTTCCCTCTCTCTGAACGTGATCTCTGTGAACTGGGATTTTGGAAGTGGATTTGCAGGATTGATTACTGGGTATGGAGAAAATGCAGTATCTACATTTTCAGGTCTCATTTGATCCTTTATACTATCAAATGAGGCAGGTAGATTAGATATAACCACATTTCATAAACAAAGAAATCTAGAGTTTAAAAAGGTCAAGAGGGCTCTGTAAGATTATTCTGATAGTGGCTAAAAAATTATTCTGATAGTGGCAGTCAGGTCTTCAGACTTATATCCAATCACTGTTACTCTACACACACAGTGTAACAGGTAACAATACCCTATTGTAATGAGTATTATGGAACAATATTACTCTATGTGGTGTCAGTGTGTAACAGTAATGTTTTCCTTTTACAAATGTAAAGTACATATATATACACATATGTACTTTATAAATACATATATATATAAATATATATGTATTTTACATATATATATGTAAAATCTAGTTTTAATTCAGGAATAAATCACTAAGACGCTAAGCCCTCCACTCTACTAGTCAGAAGGCAATCTTTCTAGGAAGTAGACCTGCTTACTTACCTGATGTATTCATTTGGCACCTCAGAAATTGCCTTGTCATTTTCCTAAAATTTTAGGTGAGCTTCTTTTATTAAGAGGAATATATTTGTATCCAAGATTTACAGCAGCAATTTGATCCTCTAAGTAGGCAACCTCGGTGGTTGGATGTATTCTTATTCAAAATGAACCAAATGACTTTTAAAGTGAAAATTCCCATGTTAAAACCATAAACTTCTCCAGTAGACGATAACTCCCCTTGAGGGTAAATAAATGTCTTAAGTATCTATATTCTTAGCTCCATAGCACTCTGCCTAGTACATACTACATATTTAATAAATGCTGAGTAAATAAATAGATGGCTTTAGTCATCTTCTTCTTCTTCTTCTTCTTTTTTTGAGATGGAGTCTCACTCTGTCACCCAGGCTGGACTACAGTGGTGCGATCTCAGCTCACTGCAACCTCCACCCCTGGGTTCAAGTGATTCTCCTACCTCAGCCTCCCAAGTTGCTGCAGGCACCCAGAACTATGCCCAGCTAATTTTTGTATTATTATTATTTTTTAGTAGAGACAGGGTATCACCATGCTGGCCAGGCTGGTCTTGAACTCCTGACCTCAGGTGATCCACCTGCCTCGGCCTCCCAAAATGCTGGGATTACAGACATGTGCCACCACATCTAGCCTGATTTTACTCATCTTCTATAAAGATCTACTCTTTAGAGATCCACCAGTAAACTACCAAGCAGCTTCCAAGCTTGGGGTTTTGCCATTGCCTGTGGTCCTAGAGCACAAATTTATTACGGAAAAGCCAACAGAGATATAATGGCTAACTCAGGGGTCATTACATTAATTAGTACACTAAGAAAGGTGTTCTCTTCAACAAAGACCATGGCCACAAATACACTTAGGCCCAGTTCTGACTAGAAAACATATAACATCTAAATCCACAGATATTCAAGGGAAATAGCCTACCAATAGAGACACCTAGAGATAGAAGACAAGCACTATGGTAATTGGCATGCTCTGACATTATGTATTTTTACCTGAGAAAAATTGGGTAGTTTTAGGTGACATATCAACTTTTATTTTGCAAGGGGGAAACTGGCTCTTTCATGAGTTATGTTAGGACCCATTCGTGCTTAATCTCAATGGAAGTCAGTACTGAAAAGAGGCCTGGGCTTCAGCTAAGATGTGAAATCCAAATTCTACGAAAATCAACAAATGCATTTCTTTTCGTAGGGAGAATTTTCCCCAAGGAACAGGAAGAAACAGTCTCTTATGTAACTGCTCAGAAAGGAGGCTTGAAGAAGATACTAGTTCCTTGGAGTCTGTCCTCTACAGATGAGAACCACTACCTGGTAGGCAAGGAGAATTTTGAGGAGTTGCCAGACTCTAGTTCAGATACTGCCTCTAATCAGCCTGTGGCTAGGGGTGGGTTAACAGCCTCTTCTCAGGTGTATCGTTTCCATCAAAAATAGCCTGTTCTTTCCTCCCACTCCAACAGAGAAACTGCTTCCAACTAGTTCTGAGTCCAGACCTGTTTTCTAAACAGTAACTGCCTAGCTGGGAGGCTTAGCCCGTACTAGAGACCACTTGTTTATTGTGCAAACAAGGTCAAGCTCTTTGTCTAAGGTTCTGCCTCAGCAGAATAGTAAACTTTGTTAAACCCTTTGAGGGAGTTCCGGGGAGTAAAAATAATTTATCTGTGTCCATTTCTTCACTGGATGCTTGACCTGCTTTACAGAGCTCTCTCTTCCAATAACTCAGCCCAGTTAAATTATATCTCATATATTTATAAACAAGTTACAGAACATTCTCTTGCAGCTGCACTTGAATTGTCTTTTTACTTCAGGCTTAACTGATACTCCCAAATGGATATCCAGAGCCAAGAAATATACATTGAGATTATCAGGACCAAGATAAATCTGGCTGATATGGCCATTTATTGCCATTCATCCATTGATTCATCAAACATATTGTTGAGCACCTAGTAAAAGCTTCTGCATTCTAGGCACTAGGTGCTGGATGCTAGAGCTACAGAGATGAAAGATGTGGTCCCTGCCCTCAAGCTGTGCACAGCCAAATGGAAGACTTCATGATGTAGTGGGAAAAATAACAGACTTAAAGTCAGACAGATCTGTGTTCTAATCTTGATCCTGCCTCCTATTAACTATGTTAATGTATGCAAATCCTCTCTAAAGTTTATCTTCCACATCTATATGACGGAAATAATAGTCCTACTTCACAAGTTTGATGTGAGAATTAATGACATAAAGTATAGTACTTGGAACACAGTAAACACTCAGTAGATGACATCTATGTTGTTGTTGTCATCATCCTGGGGACAGCCCCATGAACTAACAATTACAGTATTGCATGTGACATATGAGGATGGGAGAAGGTACTATAAGAACATAGTCTGCAATGGTGAGGAGGAAGAAGACTTACAAGAGGAAGGGAATTGATACCAACCTGAGCCCAGAAGGATGAGTAGCAGAAAGTCAGGCATGAGAAGGGCATTCTCAGAAGGCAGAACAATAGCACATACAAAAGCCTGGGGTGGGGAGGGAGAAACAGGCACTTTCAGGAAATGTCAAGTAGTTCATTTTGTCTGGATCTTGGGATATATGTAGGGAAGTGTTGGGAGGGCTACCAAGGAAGGGAGGGACCATGCTGTCATCTTGGCAATGGCCAAGATGGGCCCTGCACTGCTGCTCTTTCTCCACTACCCTCCTGACCTAAATAACCAGATTGTCCCATGTCTCATAGAGACCATCTCTCTCCACCTTAGGCTTTACAGGTATGGGCTGTTTATTTCCATTTTATGTTTCTTCCCATGCCAGCCACTATAGGTGTCATAAGGGAGGAGCAGGGCTCTTATATATTCTTCAGGAGTTTCTGCTGAGAAGTTTGACCTACATTCCAACGTCATAGCAGGCTGTAAGCTTATTCAACTTCATAAAGTGCTCTGTCAGGTAGGAGAGGGCTTTATGTCTAATAAGAACGTGAAGAGAAAAATAAGTAACAACTGGTGTTCAACTACTGCAGAAACAATTCCTATGGCCAGAGTCTGTTTTTCTCACTGATGGCTTTGACCTAGACATAGCTTGGAAGGAGAAGCTGTAAACTTGCTGCTGTGTCCTATAGGCAGGTTCAGTCAAATCAAGGTGACAAGCACTAATTGAGCATGTACCTTGTGTCTAAGACTCTGCCAGGCACTGCAGAGAAAGACTAAAACAGTGGACTGAGTCTCAAAGAGTTTACTTATTGAGTTCTGAGTTCATGGTTACATAGCCAGTAGGCCCAGCAGAATTGGAAACTGAGGTCTGCAGGACTCAAGTTCACACTCTTTCTGTTATGTTATGTTGCCCTTTTGGTATTAGGCACAGATAATTTGATTCAGGCACACCTATGAAGCAAAGTACAAGCCATGGCCAATCACGACACTATATGTCTTGTTGACTTAACATGAATGAGCCTGGCACAATAGAAATCTTCATTCGATCAATGAAAGGAATATCGATTGGCCTTGCGAAGCATGAAGAGGTACAATATGACCAGGAATCTCTTGGCAAGCTCAGCTGACCCTGAAGGGGTCAAAGTTTGGGCTGCCATTCAACCCAGCTCTGGACATAGGAGAAACTTTAGTTAACCCTCACATTTGCCCTCAGAGTAAGTAAAATGGTCTCCAAGAAGCACTTGGGCAGGAGGTCCAATCTGTTACAGTGGGCTATGGAGAACCAAAGGCCAGAAGTAGCTTTAGTTGAGAAGGCTTGTGGACCATTATGTTGCCTTCATTAGATTTGGTCATTGGTGTCTGCGATTATGTGTCATGCCTTATTGGTGTTGGGGTTGGAGGATGAGGCAGAAACAGCACTAAGAGAGAGACTGGTGAAATTCAAAGGCAAAAACTTTGATAGATTAATGGAATCAACTTATATTAGTCTAAAAATTCACTTTGATAAACTATATGTCATTTGACTCTGTTACCTTTAGACACAAAGATTGCATTTTAGGCATCAGTGAGTGATACCTGCAATATCAAAAGAGAATATACAACCCGTTTGCCTTACCAAGGGACAAAGTGGAGATATGGCTTTAAATTCAGTCACTTTTAAGGGTTGGAAGAGATAAACATCTATAGAGTTACATAGAATGGAAATTGGGACCCTCTCTACACATTAACAAGGAAAATTGGCCCTAGAAAAGGTAGCCTAAATGGAGTGACTGCACTTCAGACCAAGAACACCAGCTGGTTCGCTACAGGGATGTGGAAATAAGATTCTCACTGCCTCTATCTTGGTTTTACTACCTACGTAATGGAGATAATACTTCCTTTTACCTGCCTCACAGAATTGTTGAGAAGATAAATAATGCAGCATTTTAACAGGCTCTGAGACCCTTGAAAGATGGCTTTTGTAAGTACTGGGTATGATATTATCATTGTCATTATTACCTTATCACTTTATCTTTGCAGAAAATGATGCTTGGAAAAGCTTGCTGGTCATTTTGATATCAATTTCTGGCCAACTTCTTCTTCCCTAATTTCTTTCCATGCTGATGGACATTAAGCCAATTTAACTATCCACTCAATCTCCCTAGTGTATCATGTACATCCTGACCTTTGATTCTCTGCTCCCATCATGTCCCCTGCATGCTCTTCCTCTTCCTCTTCCTCTTTCTAAATCTAGCCCTTTTCTCAAGCACTTGGAGAAGCTGTGGAGGCAAGGACTGAGTCTCCGAATGCATCCTATTCAAGCCCAATCAGGTTAGCAACTGCTAGACTTTGCATCAGGTCATTTTAAAGGTCATCAAACTGAAATATAACTTGTACACTCTTCAACTTGATTTTGATAGAGAATTATTTCCTCTGTCTTGCTTCTCTGTGCAACAGTCAGAATTGAAACTGTATATAACATATACATTATTGCGATAGTAATGGGGTGGCTTTGCAGTGACCAAACTTTAGAAGAATGGATGATCTTTCAGATGTGGGTAATAGCTGCTGCAAAGTGGAGAGGTTGTCTGAAGTATCTTCTTCCTGATGTTAGATAATGCCTTGGTTTATAGTAACTCAGTAAGTTTGCAAGAGCCCATTTTATTCCAATGTAACCAAATCTCAACTCAAATTTATGAATAATAAAGTAATCTAATATTAATAGGATAAAAGTTATCTCCTCAAAACTAGCTTTTCTGTTACTATCAATGGACTTACCGCAAAATATCCCCCAGATTTCTATATGACCCTTTCAACATTACACAGGCTTCAGTATGCAAGGTGATTCCCAAACAGCACACTCCAGGGCCTGAGCCTGAGCTAACTGTCATCACACTATCCTTTATAGGAATTGTTTTTGCTTCTGGTTTCATGATTTGGAAACACTTACTTTGGCTATGTCCATGTGTCAGTGAAACTTCTTCAGTTCATTGTCCTGCACACACTCTTGTTCCCTATGTTCCTTGTTCCCATGTGTTCCTTGTCCACATGGAGGGTGGTATAGTATGAGCTGCTGCAGGCAGCTTGAATGGTTTTTAACCCCCTCGAAAGAAGGTGACCTTTGAGTTAGTGTCCTAATGTTCTTATAAAAGGTGCCTCACATTTGTCTACTACATTTGGAGGAAACCTCCAGCCATTACCTAGAAGTACTAAGAAAGGATCACTCAAGTCAGCTTTGTATTAAGGACAGATGTAAAGGTGGTAGACCAGAATGAGACATGGAGAAGCTGGTCCTCCATCACGCTCTCCATCTATTAAAATCCTACTCTTCTTCCAAGATCCTTATCATCCCTAACTAAACTGATTTCCCTCACCTCTGTATTTCTATACACTTAATACTCTTCTTATGACATTTACCAATTAGCTGTGTCACCAATAATTTAGCATAATGTTAATAATCAAGAAAACTTTGCATTTACATGATGTTTTAAGGTATATGAAGTTTCACAGCATGTACTATTTCATTTGACCCTTACAACTTCTTAGAAAAATTTGTTACCTCTGTAAAACTTATTTTCTTCCTCTGTAGAAAGGAGTTACTTCTTTCTTAAAAGAATTGGAAAACGTATTTATGTTGTCATTCTGGGGGAAAAAATACCCATTCAAATTAAGCCTTACAAAATCACGTAATCAAATAATGCTCTTCGGGTCATTGTGAGGAGTAAATGACCTAAGGGATGTGAAAACTGATTTGTGAAATATAAAGGCACATCCAGATGCAGAACCACAAAGGCCCTAAGGTTTCTGGTGTTTGCAACTGGGTGCCAAAACAGAGATTTGAAGCAATACATGACAGGGAGAAGATTTACCTGTTCTAAATCTTCTAGATGTAGAATCTAGAATATAGATGAACTCTAATCTACCAGAAGAGTATCTGATATGGCATCTATCTGTATAACTGGTCAAACTTAGGGGCTGGTGCTCAGGGAAAAATGTCAGTCCTAGTAGGTGTGAAAGTCAATGGAATGTAGGCAGTAAGTGAAGACAGGAGTGTGAATAACATCAATGGAAGAGAATGCAGTATGAGAGAAGCTCAAGAGACCCCTTGGGATGGAGTCTCTTGGGAAAGGAAAGGAGTTGGCTGAGGAGAAGCTGAACTGGCAAGAAAAACAAAGGAAGAAATTCCAAGTTGGATACTAGATGTCAAATGAAAGGAAATGAAATTTTGGATTAGAAGCTTAAGAGCCCATTGGGAACTTTCAATATTCTAGTGGGTTGAGGAGAGAAAGGGACATGAGAAAATGGTAACAGTTAGTGGAGAGTTTGCATTGTAGGCTGTCCTTTTGAAAAAATTGGTGATGAAAGGAAACAGAAGATTGGATGGTAGCTTTGGGAAGAAAGAAATAAGACCAAGGAAATGAAAGAAAGAATAATAGCTAAGGCTTAATAATGATGTATGTCAAATATCAAACACATAGCACTTATAGAATGCCAGGCACTGTTCTAAGTAGTTTATGAAAATTAATTCCATCCTCATCACTACCCTATGAAAGAGTTATTATTATTATCCCTATTTTACAGATGAGGAAACTGAGGCATGGAGTGGTTAAGTAAATTTCCCAAAGCCACATAGCAACAACAGAACTGGTAATTAAACTATAGGCAATCTGGTTCAAGAGTCCAGGTTTTAATTCATTTACCTTTCCTTTTATAATAATTTTGTAGTAACCAAACCATTAAGGAAGAAGTATTAAGACTTTTTCTTATTTTTAATGAGAAAGATTTCAACTCACTTGGATACTAAGAAGAAGGACCCAGCACCCTAAGACATGAATAAGAATTTCTGAATAATAAAGAGAATAAGATCCCAGAGCGTATGAGTGGCTATGGTTGGAAAGTGTGTATAAAGCAGTTAGTCTTGGGCAAGAATTTGTAATAATTCTCTCTTAAACAGGAGGAAAATGGTGAAAATACAGATTTTAATTTTGAGGTTTTGAGAAGGGAATTTGAGCAAATTCATTTCAGGTGGATGCTAGTAAAGTTTCTGCTGAGAGATATTGGAGGAGTGGTTCAGGACTTGAGTAGAAAAAGCTGTAGCTTCCTAAAATGCAATGAGGAGTCAGCTTGTACCAAATTGCACTGAGAGCTGACTAAGTCCACCTGGTATGATTACTCAACACCTCCTGTATTCAAAGCCATATGCTGGGATCTCAACTTCCGTTTGTCACAGCTTTTAATCAGTTGAGAAAAATACAGAAGAAGCACTTAGGAAACAATAGAAGACAAGATCAAATATCACTTGTGCGGCTTAATGCTTTTCATGGAGCTCAGAGAAGGGAGCGGTCAGAGGAGTTGGAGAAAGGCTGTAGCTTGAGCTGGTCCTTAAAGATCAGGAGAATTTGGAGGATAGCGTTGAAGGCACAATTTTTGGTGGTGGAGAAAGTGAGAAGAACAGAAGAATCGAAGGAAGAGAGGCAGGCATTAAGAGGTACTCTTGGGGCCAGGCACAGTGGCCCATGCTGTCAGGCAGAATTCTGGGAGGCCAAGGCAGGAGAATGGCTGGAGGCCAGGAGTTAGAGACCAGCTTGGGCAACATAGTGAGACCCCCATCTCTTATTTAATAAAGAAAAGGAGGCACTCTTGGTAAAAGCACAGGGACTAGGGGCCAGGAAAGCAGTGATAGTTCAGGCCAAAAGTAATCCTACCCAATGACCCACACCTGGTCTGGATCCCCTCAGGCCCCACGATCAGTCTTCTTAGCTACTTCATCCCTGCCTTGCTTTTCTCCGTAGCAAGAATCACTTCCTGATACACCATATTAAAATTAATTTATTTATATTTCCTAGAATGTAGGCACTGTGAGGGCAAGAATAATTGTTTGAATCACTAGTGTATCTCCTAGGTCTACATCAAGTTTGGCTTATAAAAGGCTCTCAGTAAAGATTTGCTCAAACAAATACAGCAGCAGTCTCAGGGGTTACCTGGGGTCCCTCCAGCATAGGCTCAGGAATTTTTGGCTCACAACCTGCTGTGAAGAAAAGCCTGACCTAGACAGAAGTGACAGCCTGCTTCTCAAACAGAAGCTCTTTAATACCCAGGTGACAATAAAACTCTCAAAAATTAAAGGCAAGGAAGGGTTCCTCTAGAACTGGGGACTGAGGAAGGCTTCCCTGAGGAAGTGGGGGAGAAAGTGTTTAAGAACTGGTGGATTTTAAGCTAATTGATCAGAATAGTTTAAGTCCTTACCAAGGGCTTTACAGGGGCTGCATCAGCTCTGGTAAAAGGGACAGTTTGTTCCAGAGTTCTCTCCTAGGGAATGAGCCTTTCCTCAGATCCTGGTCCAGGTAACAAAAGCCTCTTATATTTTTACCAGTTTTTAAAGACTGTCCAATAGGGAAAAAATAATTTTTGCTCCACACATTAAAGTTTAAAATTGGCCTCAAAGTAGGAAACAAAGCACATATTGCTCAGAGGCCAAAAGTCACACGTCTAAGCAGTGCCCAGTGATGGAGTTGATCCATGGCTGGTATTACCATTGTTCAGAAAGCATTCACAGCGATCCTGGGTCTGGGTCCTGTGCCCATCTCGAGCTGCCAGTTCCTTCAGGCATTAGCAGAGTTATATAAATGAATCAGCCTCTCTATGAAGGGGTAATTCTATTTTCCTGTTCTGTAAAATGAGTATGAGTCCTCACTTGCTCTCCACAGCCCCACGTCTGCAGAAGGAAGGAGATCTGCTCTCACCTGTGAACACCTTGTGTTCCATAAAAAGAGAACATTCGCTGTTAGTCAGTGGTACTGCTGTTTTGAAAGCCTATTGGCTATTTGTCAGGAGAGGTCATTTGTCACGAGAGGTGAGCTGGCAATTTTCTGAGAACCTTGGCACATGCCTGCAATTTCCCAAGGAGAGGCCTTTTGGCTTTTAATTTTCTTCCCCCAGAGAAAACCAGAAAGGTCCCCACGCCCCCAGCTTTGTAAAATACCCAGAAGGAAAGACTCAGTAAGAAGCCTCTGATTGCCTGCTAGGAAAGGGTAGGCAGGTGGGGAATATCTGGTTATACCTGTCAATCCAGCCTCCTCAGCTGAAATGGCAATCATGAAGAGAAATGCCCATCCCTCCAGCTATAATGCGCTTGGTGACAATTTCCTATTGAGAAGAGAGGCAGCTGGGACTTGAGCCAAACTCCCTGAAGCCAGGACAGCTCTGCAAGAAGTGGGTGCCTGCTTGAGCTCTAGTCTCAGTCAGGGTTGATAAAACACAGTGCTGGAGGGCTAGACTTTGATACCTGTCTCGATGCTCCCTGGCAAAGGCCTGCATGTGTCATTGTCACCTGACTGATGAGTAAGGCGAAAGTGTCAAACTCCAGTCCAGAAGATTGATGTGGCAGTGTTTGGCTGAGGCAGCGCTGGAGAGTCAGTCTAGCCCCAGGATCAACAGAGGGGCTTGGGTTTCTCACCCCATTCTCCTCCCCACTCTCCCTCA